ACATCCACACCCACACCCACACCCACACCCACACACCCACACCCAACTCATCGAGCTTCCTAAATCCTGAAAGTTTCAGTCGATTCTAAGAAAGTCATATATAAAGGGGTATGTTTCTCACGGATTCAGCCACAACATTTTATAAAATGTTTGTTATTCTGGTAAACTAGTTTTCTAGAAAATCACGTAAACAAAGTGTAAGGAGATTTTTCATACTCATCACTATAAAATATAGGCGAAGATTAATAACCCTGGAAAAGCCTTCATGAACTTTGTAAATCCTGTCATATATCCTTTTTAGGATTTATCAATATAATAATCTCTTTCACATATCCTTTCGATTCGTCAATCCTCGGAAGGGTTTGCTACCCAGTGAAAAAAAGTTAGATTATACGTGATTTTGTAAGATTATCATCGGATTTTTCTGCAACAAAATCCAAATTATAATCGATTGAAATTTTCCAAATCACACATAATCTGATTTTTAATCAAAAATAATTCTTCGAAATCGAGAATACTTTAGATTTTAATCAATTTATTTTGGATTTTAATCAAAGTTTTAACTAATTTCGATACCTTTTTTTTAATCCGAAATAATCCCCAAAATCAATTAAAATTTTGATTAAAATCCAAAATAAATTGATTAAAATCTAAAGTATTCTCGATTTCGAAGAATTATTTTTGATTAAAAATCAGATTATGTGTGATTTGGAAAATTTCAATCGATTATAATTTGGATTTTGTTGCAGAAAAATCCGATGATAATCTTACAAAATCACGTATAATCTGACTTTTTTTCACTGGGTATACGTTGCATTTTCAAAAACTCTTCTAGGTATATGAGTGGTAATATAGCTTTAAAAAGTTGATAAAATTCATTAATCTTTCCGAAAAGCATTTTTCATTGTACGGATTTTTCTATAGGGTAGATCAATAAATGCTTTACTAAAGAGTTGATGAGTTTTATCAACTTTCTAAAGGTATATTACCGCTCATATACCTGAAGAGTGTTTGAAAGTGCAACGTATAGCAAACTCTTCCGAAGGTTGACGAGCCGAAAGAATTTTATGAAAGGGATTATGATATTGATAAATCCTAAAAGAGTATGTGACAGGTTTTATAAAGTTCACGAACGTTTTTTCTGGGTTTACTAATCTATGCCTATGTTTTACAGTAATATTGGAAATTAGAATAGTCAATAATTTTTAATCTCGTCGCTTTCGTTGAAAAAGCAATTTGACAGTTGGAAAGGTTCCCTCGTAAGTGGATTTAGTATTAATTAACACCACCTGATGAAGTCTCGTCATAGATAGAAACAACTGTTCTCATATGCTGGCAACCTTTCTATTTTACACACCCACACCATAGCATACTAGTTCTTTATTTCGTCTCGTTTATTTTGTAGAGTTAAACATTAAAGAATTTTATGAAAGTGTTTATTTGTCTTTTGGCTTATTTTTAAATTTAAAGTCTGCTTCTTCACCAGTCTTGGTGTTTTTGACATAGTGTATGTTAATGCCAGTGTCTTCATGAAAATATTGCATTTTAACCCAACCGCTTGTAGAAGGGTAATTAGAGTCCGTCAGTTCTATTGGCAAGATTTTAGCTGTTGGATCTCCTGCCTTTGCGGCTTTTAAAGCAATTTGTTCGTTGAGATTTGCAGGTTCTGTTCTTTTTGGTTCTCTCTCACGAGAAGAACCATTATCAGGCGGGTCGCAAGGACCATTTGCACTACCACCAATATTGCCTCCTTGATTTCCATTTCTATTCGATGTTCCACCACTTCTATTACTAACAGATGTTCCTTGTTGTTGTTTACCTGTGATGTTCATCATATTCCCAGCGTCAATTTCTACCGTTTGTTGATTGTTTTTTTCAACAGTTCCTGCTTTCAAGTTGATTTCCAAACTCACACCTCCATAAATTCGTAAACCATTTTTTTTCTGTGAACAAAATACAGCCGGAACCCACGAACAATTTGTTGGCGAATTATTCAAATTAAATTGTGTATCTTTATCAAGATTGACTCCCATACAAACAATTGTTTCTAATACTTTTAAATATTGTTCTTGTTTATATGTCTTTAATGAATCAGTTATACAACTGACTAGCTCCAATTTCTGATTATACTGCAACCAGTTAGATATTAAACCCTTTACCATAAATTTTTTATATGAGCAGTGACATGCTTCACAAATAGCTTCAGTTATTTGACTCAAATTATCTTCATCCACTTCAATTAATTGGGATCGAATTTTCGTCTTTAATTCATTCATTTGCCTGTATGGAACATCAGAGTATGATATATCTTTTTCGGATAATAAACTATTGACTATATGATCTACTTCATAACTAGTTGCACGAGGATAATTAATTTGATTTCGAAGTCTTTGCAAGTAATCATCAATAGGATCCACGTCAATAGTAATATTATTAATATATTTTTGAATATTATGAAATGTTGATCGAATAAATAAGAGTAAAACGCCAAGTTTTAATAATTCTTTGAGTCGCAATAATTCTGGAAAATATGAGCCAATTTCATCATAATAGCAAGTAAATGCTTGAGCGAATTCACCTTCCGGTGAATGATCTTCATCTGTTTTTGACAAATCATCAATCAAATTACCTTGCTCATCATACTGCATCAATTGTTTCTTCACACACATCGGTACATCACCTAAATAATATGTTATTATATTATTATTTTCGTCGAATTCATGTTCATAAGTTATTTCTCCTGCTTCAATCCAAAATCGATGTACACTATTCATAATTACACAATCTTTTCTTTGATCTATGGGTTTCAATTGTTCTTGTAACCACTCTGGCAAACGTTTCATGAAGCCATCAGAAGCATCACGCATTTGAAACGGTGGTTCTGAACAGATTTCAACGCCGGTTGAAATCATTTTTAACAAATAGTCAGCATGCAATAGTGTTGATAAAAAATTTGTATTCGAAAGACTTTTCGGTGCATAGCGCATCTCTTGAAATGGATGTGACTGAAACTCAATATTAGGCTGATCTAATGTAAATAAAGAACTTGTTATTCCTTTTTTTAAAACTTCTTGAATATCATCGACATCGAATAATCCGTAGTCTTTTGATTGAACTACTTGAAATAAAAATTTGATTTCTCCAGTATTAATGTTGAATGAAATACCATTTACTTTCTTAAATTGAGTTTGACGATCAAGATTTAGAGGGTAGGTTTCTGAAGGTAACCATCCATCTATAGTGCGTCGTAAACGAGACCAATTCAGAAGATTTTGAACATCAATCATAGTCCAACTTTCTCTACTGAGTAGTGATTGCATACAATTAAATCTGGCAGAATCAAACGTTTCATTCCTTATCCATTGGTGCCATACACCTTCAAATACATAATACTGATAAAGATACGATTTATATAATGTACCACTTTCGCTATTCGCTGAATTTATCAAAAACATTGATAGTAACTCTTGACCAACAACTTCAATATATAATAAATCGTAACTACGTGATAATGGAACTTGTGAAAGTGGCGACATTCTCGTAAGCAAAATTATATCTTTTAACAGTTCGGTTAAAATTATTTTATGTTGTTTTGTTATCAATAGATGGGTAGAACTTTGATCATTAGACGATTGTTGTTTAGATTTCATTTGTACTTGAAGCAGTTGAGTTGATTTGATGACTAATGAGAACGCTATTTTAAACATGTAAATTTGCATATGAAGTGGCAGATAACGTCGTGATAAATAAAAGGCCTCAATGGTTAGTTCAATGATAATGTTTCTGTAAGCATATATTTTAGAAGGTTCAGAAGTTTGTTTCATCAATTCATAGAAATGAAGACCAGCTAAAAGAAAATTTGAAATAATACAAGTCAAATCTTTGACTGCCATTGACAAGTCAATATAGGATAGAGCAGCTTTCATATGATCATTTTTCATTTGTTTTATAATGGCACGCTCATATTTTCTTATCATATTCAATTGAGGTGTACTCTTAAGACCATTACCACTTAATGTCATGTCAGGTAATTGATTATCAATCATAATACTATTTATGAGATCGATCGATCTTGTTTGATCGAAATGTATTTTTATTGATCTTACATCGTCAATTAATGTTTGAATAATCGTTTCATGAAATTCAAATTTTTTTAAAAAGTAAACAATAGATGTCATAACATCATCTATTGGGCAACAAAGAAGTGCTTCATGCAGTTTAGACAACGATTGTGAAATATTATTTTCCAATTTAGATATTTGAGCATCGATAATATACATCATTGATCGATATCTAACAGGTGTTATTTCTGATATTTTTTGTATGCCTAGACAGGCATTTAATAATTGTTTTAAAATTGTTGAATTATTAATTTGTTCAATAATTTTGACAAATTCTTCAATTGACAAATATGTAGCTGCTTTAGCTTGATTGTATAGAATACCATTCATATGTAAATCAAACTTTTTACTTAATTCAACTATTTTTAATGTTGATTCACTCGTAAGATTTTCGTATCGATTAACAATATGAAGTCCACCAGTCATAATTGAAATATAATTAGTTAATCTTTCATCTTTAGCTAATTCAGTTAACAGAAGTAAGTGAAACTTAAATGTTTGATAACGAACTGAGGACAATACTTCATTTATTTTAATTGTTTCTATCAATAAACACTTTTTCGTTTCATTGGTTAATGGAAGAAGTTGATAGAAACGATCGATAATAGTTACCAGGAAATGCTCATTAAATTTTGTTCGATGATAAATGACAACAGTAAAAAGAAGATTAAAATTTGTTTCATGACACTGAGAAGCTTGTGATAGAAGATAGCTACAAGTACATGATAGTTACCTTAAATCATTGTGGTAATGTGTTAAAAATTGATCGAGATGTTTTTTTATGCCTTTGACTAACTATAGAAAGGATTTTGGAAAAATAGAAGATTTTCTTGAGAGACCTGAAAGAACATTTTTAATGGCTAGTCGATAGAGTCTTTTTACTCGATAAGAGCCTCTTCAAATATATTATCAACAAAGGTGATATCAATCGGTTTCTCTTGTAGTGAACAAGTAACACTCGTCGGCAGGAATTGCTTAACCCTGAACTGCAATCAATCTTGTTATCATCTGTTATAGTTTTCTAACTCCTGTTCTCACAATTATTGTGCAATACATGCACAGACGAAAATCTGTCTACAATATTGTCAGTGATGACCATTTTGTAAACGATTTAGACCTGTCTATTTTTCATTCTGAGTCTTTAAGATTTAAGTAAATAACTCGTAATCGATTGTCATGATTGAATTAAACCCATGCTCAATCCTATCCATGGGATGATGAAAATGAATTACAAAATAATTTGAAATTTTTTATATTCTACCAGAATCTGCCGGGGTTTACTAGGATCTAATATAGTTTCGGTGTGGATGCCACGAAAAAACTTACATCATGTTTTCTTCGATGTGGGTACCGTAAAATTCTAATAGATCATGCTAGACGTTGGTATATGAGAATAAACTTCTTGTAATTATATGCATATACTTCTATAAATATGTATTATAGAAATTTTGAATTACTTTGTAATTCATTTGCGTCATGAACTCATCTTATCAGGTCGTAGTCCAACGATGTTTCTTCTTCCTCCTCTCAAAATTTCACTTTCATCTAGAACTTCTTGTATTTCCAGATCCTTCTTACAAGAGCTAGATGTCGAAAACATGTGATCATCTATCTTTTCGCGAATGTTCTTTTTTGATTCTGCCACAAGACGACAAACTTTTTTTATTTCCTACGACCCACCCTATAGTCAAAAGGAATAAAAATATCAAGTTTTATTTTGAATTATCCGTAATACTAATAGAAATTTATATCAAAAAATTATTTTATCAAATCACTTGTCTTTTACTCCTTAAGAATTATTTCATTACTCTTGAAATCAATCAAAAAATGTTCTATTAATTCCTATTCAACAAGAGTGCAACATCCACTTTCCAGCTTACATATTATTTTAACAAATTAAAAGTAAATAAACATCTTATTTTAAATAGCTGCGATTTTTTATTACTCACTTATCGATATTATCGGAATTACTTTTCAGATAACAATTTAATGCTTGCTCATATTTTCTTTTCTTGAAATAAAAATCACCAACAATTGTCCATTCAATATTTAACATACTAAGTATTTCCATGGCTAGTGATGAATCAGTATCAAAAATATTTTCACAAAACTGCATCAATTCAGTATCATTTTTGTCTAACATTTGTTCCATTTTATTGCATAAAAAAATTTTCTCACGCTGACGTTGCATGTAGTAGTCACTTTTTAGTTTATTCCAATCTATACCGAATTGAACATGTATAATTACTAGACACCAAATGATTTTCAAACTATCAGTATTTTGTTTCATTAGTAATACTGCATAGTTCATCCAATCATCAACTTTCTCATATTCTGATATTAATATCTTAGTAAGATAATGAACAATGGGATTTAGTATTTTATCTACTTGTTTAATTATGTTTTCATGCATTATTTTATTAATTAGCGTTAGCATTATCGCTACTGTTGTATACTGACGTTGAGAACATAATAAATCTAGATATTGAAGCCATTTATCTATTGAAAGTTTAGCAGTATGAAAAAAAAATAATGCAAGTTGAAGTTTGTTCTTCTTTAAAAGATCTTCACCTAATTGTTTCCAATTGATTGATGCAAAATGTTTTGATTTGATGTATAATAAATATAAAAGACATACGTCGTAGTTGTTTTCTTCGTCTAAATAAGAACATTTTAAAAGAAGATCTTCAACATTTGATTTCAATATTGTATCAAACAATAAACTTTTGATAGCATAATTATATTTTTGATCCACTGACGAGTTTGACAATGTGTAATATTCATTAAGTTGTTCAAGTAAAAATTTTCGATCTTTATTATATTGTTTTATGATCAATTCAATACAAGTAATTGCAAGTGAATAATCTTCTTGAAAACATGCTATTTTTATTATATTTAGTAATTCATGATAATCTACTTTTGCATAGTAATAACATTGTAATGCTAATAAATACTTGTTTAAACGAATAAAATTCTCACCAGTTTGTCTATAATAATCTTTTAAATCTTCTGTAGTATAGTATTGAAGAAGAGCTAAATAGATATTAACACATTTTGCATTACCTATTTGAATTGCTTGTTGAAGACGTACACATATTGTTTTATTAATTAATATTAATTTTTGCTTTGAACATGTTTTACATAAATATACTGGTTGAATATAACCAAAATAAGGAAAATTTTCACTTATTTGACAATCAAAACATTGTACAATGCCACACACTTCACAATAATAGCGATGACGAAATATATGAAATTGTTTTCCACAGTCATGACAATTTTTTTGTGATTTATCAGGAAGTTGTTTTGACGGACTTTCAACTATGTAGTAAAAATCATCGATATTAATATATTCATTAAGCAATCGTTGATATTTATCAGGTAGTATCGCTTGATTAAATAGAGGTACTCGTGTTCCTGTTTGCATTCTATTAGTCTCGGATGATTTCAATTTTAAATTATTCCCTGAAAATTGATGTACATTACTGAAAAAGTTTTTGATATCTTCAATGACATTTATATCAGGTAAATATTGATAAGAACTTGCTCGAGCTATTTTAATTGCTGTTTGTTCACATTTTTTATATTTATCATTATTTTCATCAATATAAATATTTGATAAATTAATAATGGATTTTGATTGCATTATTTGAATTGGTTCTCTAATTTGATCGATCATAGTTTGTAGATACTGCCAATTAGAGCTTGACCATATGTAAGCATATTCTGTTGACATTAAACATGGCATCCACTGCCATATACTGGGTTGAATAGACTTAACTAGATGTTTTTCAATTTCTGCTAATGCTGCATTTTTTGCAACTTGAAAATTCGATGATACTTCAAACAATTTTCTATATGGTTTTGTAATTTGGTATTCATGATCATCGAGACATATAAAACTTTGTTTACATGTTTGACATAAATTGTATCTATTAATTTTCCCATCACTATCAAAATAATTACTAAACTGATTGAGTACGTCATTTAAAATTGTGATAAATTCTTCATGAAAATTATCATAAATATTCACATGTTGATACTCATTTATCCAAGTATCTATCTTTGCAACATAATCTTCTGACCATTTCTTACCCATAAGTAACTGAGCGCGTTCCATATTGTTAGTAAATATAATGTCATCATCGTCGTCGTCATCTATATCTGCTCTTGCATCGTATTCATTACGAGTAATCTCATTTGAGAGTATTTCATAAGATTTTTGAAGAGCTTTGAACATTTCTGTAGCATTTGGATCTGAATTTCTGTCCGGATGAAGTATTAGAGCTTGTTTTCGAAATGCTTGTGTAATGTCTTGACTTGATGAATTTGGATTAACACCAAGAACTCGATAATGATTTTCTTCTTTGTTCATTTTCTTAAAAAAACAGACATGTATCATTTTACTATTTTAGAAAAAAACATCTTCTAAGAGATTATGATTCTTAAAAGATAGTTGATAATTGTATCGATATACGAAAATTCAAGCTATTGAATCTGTGCATTATCTGAACAATTTTCTGTATTAACATCAATTAAATCAATATTACTAATTCATAGTCTAAATCGTTCACCGATATGGTATGATTATGTCAATATAGAATTTTGTGAAACACGATCTGAAAGGACTGTTGAAATGTTTAGGGTAGAAATTTTGTGCCCACTCTCATCGCCTTCCCTTTCTCACAGACCATGACAGAGAAACTGTAGTTGTAAAGCATCAGATATACGGTCAGCTACAAATGTGTCATAAGGAAATGGAACAAATGCATTTCCATTTAATTAGTAACAATAGGTCCATCGTGTTTCACATTTTTTGTGCCGCAAGGGATTGCGCTAACAGCTTTTTTGCCGTGTGAGACTGTTTCTATTCGTTATGGTTTTACGAGCGATTAATAAATCACCTTTTCATTATTGAAATATAGTTTCATCAGATTGATACACAAAAAAAACACGTCTGTCCTCAATACACCTGAAACACTAAATTTCGACTGACCATCTAATGGTTTCAACAAATAAGGGTCTCAAGAAACTTTTCTCATTGAGATGCCTATTTCTATAAAACTATTATTATGAAAGAGAAATATCTATATTATAATGTACAAGTGGTTTTTAGTTCTTCGGGAACTCTCATATGATTGGTCACAGAACGAAAAAAGAATTTATATATATATATGTTATAGGCAGAATTGGAATCCAGGCAAATTCTAAATTTGCCTAGTCAAAATTAGAATTTATGTATTTTTTTGTATTGATATTCCAATTTTGACTAGGCAAATTTAGAATTTGCCTGGATTCTAATTTTGCCTACAACATATATATATGTACGTCGCGTATGTTCATTCATTATGTATATACGTATGTCAGTCATCTATATTATATTTTACATTCAGGAACTTTCTTCTTATGTAAATTAAATCAATTTCTCCTATAATATTAGATTTTTCCGGTAATATTAAAATTCAACCAAGGGGAGAAAGGCGAGACTCCCATACTCCCGAAGTACAATGGGAGTACAGGGAAGTACAGTGGAAGTACAGGAGAGCAGGGATGTGGCGATCATGGGGTGTGGGGTGGTGCGCACCACCGCAAATTTTAAAAATTTTCTTTATTTTCTAGCAAAAATTTGTATTTTTATTAAAAAAAACGATCATCAGATGAAAAAATGAGGTTTTGCACCACCCCAACCTTTAAAAATGTTGTAAGTACATCCTCTTAGGTCCGAAAATTTCCTGAATACACCCTAAAGTTTTGAAAAAATTTCTTATGCGCCACCCCATATTTTTTCTCTTCGCCACATCTCTGCAGGAGAGTACATTGGAGGCACAGGGGAGCACAATGGAGGTGCAGGAGAGTACAGTAGAAGTACAGGGAAGTACAGTGGAGGTACGGGTGAGTACAGGGGAGCACAGTGGAGATACAGGATAGTACAGGAGAGCACAGGGGACCACAGAGGAGGTACAGTGGAAGAACAGGGTAGTACAGTGGGAGCATGCACTCCAGAAGTCCCACTTTTCCTCCTTCAGTCCAACCCTTCACAGGGGCCTTTAGTTCAATTTTAACGTATTCTGGTTGACTTGCACATTTTAGACAAGAAATTTAATGAAACCTCGATATCTCAAGAATCAAGATTCGAATAACCAAGCTAGTATAAATATTGTTTGTTACTCACTGAAACATGCCACTCATCTAACAAAAAGCAAAGTAACAAGAATATCAACAGGTACATGATTTTAATCGATTTCAGGTATATCTCAGTAATGAAAATCAAACAAATGTAATTTATTTCTATAAAATAGAAGATTATAATGAATTTTCTCCATAGATGTTTTACAATCATTAGATTTGAATCGATCATAATTCTAAAGGTGAGAAACGACTATACTAACGATGTATAGATTATAATTCTCCCTTCAATCTGATTTTTTCCAATGTTTTTTTTAATATGGATCATGTATCATGTAGGTATCAGATATGAGACAAATAATTCATAAAACCTTAAATAATTTTAAAAAGGAAGGCATAAGATTTCTCATTGTGATTGAAAGAACAACAATGAGATGAGTTTAACATGAATGAAATTTCTCATAGCCAAGTAAGTTTTCGCTAAAAAAAACCTGTAAATTATATTGAGAAATGTTGAATGTCATTACGTACTCTATATAAGCGAGTAATTTGATTTCAAGACCAGTTTCAACAGTAACTATTAAAGAAAAAGAGACGAATAGATATACTGAGTTCTTGTATCAGCTATATCATACTGTCAACAAACAGTTAATGATAATCGAATGACGAAAAGATATGATAAGTAGGAAAAAGCCGAGGAAAGAAGACATGTATTACTCATTCGCCGATAATGATGGTCCAAAGTCTTAAGGGTAGAGGGGTTCACGAGAATTTAAAGTTATCCTGTTTTACTTTTCTATACACCATGTACTCCCTTTAGTCCCTTTAGTGGGTGTGGGTATGAGCCACTATCGAAGAGAAGAATTTAAACACCCACACCCATACCCTATGCAAGGGTATGGGTGAGGGCATTCAAAGTTACCATGATATCGATATTTCATCTCAGCAGATATATTGATCAGATGGTAGTCACTTCCATTCAAATTTCGAAAAGACAGTTTTGATTAAAATAAGACAATT